TTGTTCACCGACCATGAGCTCATCCTAGCAACCATTCAATTGAAAATCATGGCAATAAAGAACACACGACAGGGGCAACGACGCACTAACATCAACATCGGTGAACTGAAAGACCCCATCAAAAGAAGAGAGTATTCAGCCAAATTGAATGAGTTGCTAGAACAAGATGCACTCAATTGGCAAGAGTGCCATCTAGAGGCAGCCAAGCAAACTCTGGGCGAACAAAGAAGAAACAGCCGCAAAGCATGGATTTCTGACGACACGTGGCAGCTCATTGAGCAACGCCAACTAAAGCAGAATGAAACTCCAGATGTGCGAGCTCAGTACAATTACATGGGAAAAAGCGTCAAGAGAGCAGCCAGACACGATCAACGCACCAACACCAACAAACTAGCTGACGAAGCAGAAGAGACAGCGCAGAAGCACGACATGCGCACCCTATACCGAAATGTTAAAGAACTGGCAAATGGTAGCAAGAAGAACGAACAGTAACATGTTTCTCGAAGATAAAGACGGCAACAACATAGTCTCTATAGACCAGCAGCGATCAAGATGGAAAGAATACTTCGACGAATTGCTCAACTTCCAAGGTGACGCAAACAACGAAGCAGAGGAAGTATTCGAAGATGACGCAAACACCAACAGGCGAATCAGAACTACAGCACCATCTGAGATAGTTGAGGCCATAAAGAAGCTCAAAAACAACAAAGCATCTGGAACCGACAGCATACCAACAGAGCTCTTTAAGGCAAGCCCAACACTATCAGCCGCAGCGTTACACGAATACATCGTAGCAGCATGGAACAACGAGGATTTCGACAATGAATGGAAGGAAGGCGTCATTGTGAAGATACCGAAGAAAAGTGACCTAAAGAAGTGTGGTAACTGGAGAGGCATCACAGTGCTCAACGCGATCAATAAGATCGTGGCACAGATAATTCTCCAACGCATCTCTGAACACATCGAAAGCCAACTTCGAGATGAACAGGCCGGATTCCGAGCAAACCGTGGCTGTATTAACCAGTCGAATACGCTACGGCTTATAATAGGACTTCGAAAAAGCATTCGACCGAGTCAATAGAGGAGAGATATGGCATATCCCATCCAAAATCATCAGAGTAATTAGAGCACTTTACTCTGAAGCGAAGTGTAGCGTACTACACAACGGAGCCAGGAGTGAAGAGTTCGAAGTACGAAACGGTGTAAGGCAGGGCTGTGTACTATCACCACTGCTGTTCATAACAGTCCTAGACGTAGCGCTTCGAGAGATTTCAACTGAAACGGCTTAACTACACTTTACAGACATATAAACAAATCGATTTTTTTCTTATAAAATCTTATAAATTAATGCTGTAAAGTGCATAATATGTAAAATAGATCTGTTGGAAGACTATAATTGACATAAAAAAATGTCATAAATGTGTGCGAGGGTGTTGTGGGTGTATATATATGATGATTTTTTGATAATTTTAACACTGAAATCGATCGAATTTTTTTTATTTTGCTATTTTAAACATTAAATAAGATTGTGCTTTTTTTAATTCAACGGAAAATATGTAAATTTATTTAAAAAATGAGTATAAATAAGAGATATGTAAACTTTACTTTAAAGAGACAGACTTTTTGTGTTATGTTCATGTTTCATTATATTCTTGTAAATCATTATTGTTACGATTATCGGTGATGTCATTTAGATTATCATTTAGATGATCATGGTTTTTGTACAACAGCCCGGCCTGTTTACAAAATTCAATAGTGGGATTGACTCCTTCTAGTTTGTATTTTCTTAAAAACATAAATTTAGCGTGGAATACGGTGTTTTGCTATTCGCCATAAACCTTCAACTGTGTTGGTGCATGCGCCGGTACTGGGGTCCTTAAAGGTTTCAGAATGGTTTACAGTCAAATGGTTGTAATCAAAATCGCCCAACTTCGCATATGCCTTCCAACAATCGCTGATAATTGTGGACCGTGGTAGAATGAACTTTTGAAATAAAGGCAACAACGTTTCCTTGTCGCGTTTTTCAACTGGAATCAAAAAGAATCGACCAGTATTCCGATCAGTACCACCAAATACCCAGTGCCCATCAATGCGATGGCCGCGATTATATTTCCTTCGACCAAATTTGAATTCATCAATCTCAACGATATGGCCCTCTCCACCTATTGACGAAACAGTTCTAATGTATCGTTAACAACATATATCTATATATCTATTTTTGGGGCGCAAGCATCTATTGTTGAGCATAGATGGACGACGATAATATTTGTTATTGCACGCGCGTGCATTTTTACATTTCTTTCAACAAACTGGTGGAAATATTTTTTTACATACCAATTTGCGTTGAGTTTTGAAAACAAGCATTGAGTACAACTTCAGTACAAAATTTATTGTATGTTGAAGCAGTTGTAAATGAAACTATTTCAGCCTCCAACGATATTTTTCGAATTTCGGAAAACTGGCACCATTCATGTACGAAAATCATAATTTGGTCGAACGTCAAATGAGAGCCCTTGAAAACCGACATACTTTTAACCGATTTCTTGGTGTTACAAATTTTTCTTTTTTCTTTTCGTTTGTATACGTTCGACTGCATCTCAAGAACCACTCGTTTTGTTGTTTTGTTTCAATGAAAAATTGACAGGTGACATAGCTTTCGGAGTTAGTACTGCCTAACAGGCTGTGGTCCCTATATTGATGTGGTCATTGAAACGAATAACCACTCAAAATCAACTGATTAAACATTTTGTACTTTTATTTAAGGTAACAGATGTTGACTCCCCAACTGGTGACCATGCATTAATTGATATTGGTAAATTGGTTGGATTGAATCCTAGAATGGTAACCGTTCGTACCAAATCACGTGAATCAACATCATCAGACAGCCAACCTACGGTCATTCCAAGTGAGCTTTAACTTTGGAATTTTATAAACAATTACATTGATTTTTTAACGTATACATTCACAGATTTTGTAAGAAATGCCGCGAGAACTCGTAATATAAATCATCATCAACAACAACAACAGCATCAACAACAAACCAACTTCCAACAGACGTCAATTCCACCTCATATGAGAAACCAACCACATCAACAGCAATCACAAAGAGTCGGACCGTTGGTAAATCAACAGAATGTAGCTGGCACAAATCATCAACAAATTCTGGACCATCATGATGAAAGTTTGAGCGACAAAGAAATTTTTCCAGGTACAAATATACAACTTTTGAAATCAGAGCAGACTCTTTGTTTGTCATAGTTAGTTTTTTTTTTTAATAGTGTCAATGATTGTGTTCTCATATGTACATTTTGTTACCAAATTTGTTTTATATTTTTTTTTTGTTACGAGTGTCCAAAAAATGATGTTCGAAAAGTTGTGAAATTCGAACTTAAGGCGTCTGAACTTTTTCGGACGGTTGGAAATCATTTTTCGGACGAACAAATTTTTTTAATGAAAACGAGCGTCCTTTTATATTCGGACGGAAATACGATCAAATTGTTTGTCCGATGCCCACTTTAGTTGACACGAAATTTATACATATGATTATTAGGGTGTAGCCTAGGGGCAAATCACGAAAACAA